TTTTTCTTGACTTTATTTAAAGTTATATTTTGAAAAAAAATTTCCTTCGTCATCAACCACTTTTTCTCCCCTACAAGATGCTAGCTTCAAATTTGAAATCTGACGTTTCGTCTTTGAGCCACCATCATCAACTTAACTTTTTTAAATACGGGCCCTTATTTTTTATTAAAGTTTTTATAAGCTGTCGATGTCCCAAAACCAATGGCGTATTGCACTTATTCGAAAAATTTATATTATTGGCACTTCCGATAAGAACTAAATGTGTTAGAGAGAGACAGAGAAAAGAATTTTGGTAGGAAATTACTAAAAAGTAAAAAAAAAACATATTTTTTCGAATAAATGCGGACGTCATCTTAAATAAAAAATCCAGGGTCGGATTCAAAGGATTAATTAAATTATTATTAAAATATTTAAAGTTGATGATGGTGGTTCGAAGACGAAACGACAGATTTTTAATTTGATGGTAGCATCTTCTAGGGAAGAAAAAGTGGCTATGATGAAGTGATTTTTTTTGTTGAAATATCACTCCAAATAAAGTCGGCAAAAAATTAAATTAATTTTGCAAAATTTCGTTTTTTTTTCGGATCTCTTCAATCTCTTCGGAAGTATTAGAAATATCCTAAATATCAAAGCGGCATTTTGTTAAGCATCAAATTACGCAACTTTGCGCCAATCTAAGCAACCCTGTATCTCTTACCGTTTCTGAGATCCCATTGATGTGGCTCGAATTTGAAACAACCTGTACAACCCTTAGGCACTAGTGCTTAAAACAATGTCATTTGAAAACTAAAATGACAATCGAAAAATCGCTATTATAAAACGTCAGTAGAAAAAGTCAATATTCAAGTGTCAATATTTCCAAAACAGTTGAACTTAGGTATAGGGTGTATCACGTGAAATCTACTCAGAATTTTACGTAGAATCCAAATATGTTATCACATACAGGGTGTTTCATTTGCAAAAACAAAGTTGGTCTGGATAGCAAACAAACCAGAAGTGACAGAAACAATTCGTCTAGGTAGAAATAATTTACTGAGCAACTCTCATGCAGGTCACTTTTTCCTATGCAAGGTAATTAAAAAGTTACAGAAATCAACCAAAACCCGCTCAAAATCCTTATTTACTGATACTAATTTGTATCTGAAAAAACTATAAAAAGCAATAAATGATGGGGTAAATTTTGGTGATCTAAGCAGATGTCCTTCTGCCCCATAGTGTTATCGGGCAGAGTTTGTGTGTACGTGTCTTTTCTCATAAGGTCTGGTAGGTATATTTCATGATTTAAATTGGTTCTTAGTCTTTTGGTCCGAGAAGAAATATTCACGTATTTTTGAGTTATCCTCCAAGGTAAGTCCTGATACAGAATTTGGTAGATGTGGTCGCATAAACCGACTCATCTCAAATTGAACAGTATTAAATATTTTGCTTCTCACTAAAGATGGCCGAAGCAAATGAGTAATTAAAAAAAAATAGCTGTGGTCAGACTTTTTAATTAATGTTTTAATTAATGTCTCGGCCTTTACTACACATAGGGTGGACCAAATTCGAGGCGCATCATTGAGAAATACAGGATTTGTTAAATGGTGCTAAAGTTAGGTAATTTAGTCCTCAATAAAATGCCGCCTTGACATTTGAGAAATTTCAAATACCTACTTCCGGAAAAAAACGAAGCTTCGTGAACTCGGTTTTATTTTTCTCTGGGCTTATTTAAAGATCTATTTTCAAATCCCACGTTTTGTGTTTGGGCCTCCATCAAGAACTTTATTGTTTCAAATACGACCCGAGACTTTCTGCTTCGTTCTTGATGACTCTTGGAGCACCTAGCCAATGACGTAGGTATCACATTTATCATCAAGTTTGTTGTTTAAGGTACCTTCTAAAGAAAAATGTGTTGGATCAGGATGGATTTATCGCACAAGCAGTTTGGTATACCAACATCCTTTTCTTATTCTGTTTAAAGATTTTTTGAAAACAATAATGGTAGTTCTACATTTGAAATCCCACGTTTCCTTCTTCTAAAAAATTCAATAATTTATTTCACATATTTTATAAATATCTGCATTTTCAATTTATTTTAGTAATTTTCAACGTCAATATTTGTTTCAGTAGACCTAAAGATGGAACTTTCGGATTTGAATTTAATAACGCCGTTTTTGTAGAAGGGAGAAGTGGCAGCGATAAAAGTGTCTTCAATTTTTAAAAATATTATCTTCAAATAAGCCAGAGAAAATATACAGTGTCCCTCATAATGTTCGCTACATATGGGGAAATTTTTTCTTTGTAGAATATGGAATTTTTTCTTATGTGCGATCGATCCTGCATGTCCGATAACCTAAAAGTACATTTTGACATTGGTCACGTGATCACTGTTGTAGCGGCAAATTCGAAAATTTAGATATGGAAACGCGAAAAGTGGGGTTAGATGGCAAAATGTCGGAAAGAGTTATTTGAAAAAAATGATTAGCACGATGTTTTAGGGCTGTCTGCGAAATTTGGAGGCAAAACAACAAAAAACAGGAAATTACTTGTTTTTAGCCATGGATCTCTTTTCAAATAGGTAATATTATGCAATTTTTATTATTGAAATAGTCCAAGTATCTCAATATTTAATGTGTATTGGTAAAGCAAACTTAAATTTTTCATTGGAATCATTCCTAGAGGATTAAATAAAAATATTCGGCTAGCACATGAAACTTTTCTGTAGCAATACCCTGTAACTTGACAGTTTCTGAGATTTTCAATAACTTAATGTTGATACAACAATTGAAAAGATTCGTTATTGAGATTTTTTATTAAATATTTAAATACAGTTCTGAAACACCTTACTCAACTGTCCAGATACAGGGTATTGCTACAGGGAAGTTTCATGTGCTAATCAATCATTTTTATTTAATTCTCTAGGAATGATTCCAATGAAGAATTTGAGTTTGTTTTACCAATACACATTAAATATTGAGGTACTTGGACTATTTCAATAATAAAAACTGTATAGATATAATATTAGTTGATGAGAGATCCATAGCGCAAAACAAGTAATTTCCTATTTTTTGTTGTTTTTCCTCAAAATTTCGCAGACAGCCCTAAAACATCGTTCTAATCACTTTTTTCAAATAACTTTTTCCGAAATTTTGCCATCTAACCCCACTTTTCGCGTTTCCAAATTTCAATTTTCGAATTTGCCGCCACAACATTGCTCACGTGACCAACGTCAAAATTTACTTTTAGGTTATCGGACATGAAGGATCGATCGCACATAAGAAAAAATTCCATATCCTACAAATAAAAAATTTCCCCTCATGTAGTGAACATTATAGGGGACACGGTATAAAAGCGATTTCACGAAATTTCCGGATTTTCCGGAAGTATTTGAAATTTTTAAAATGTCAAAGCGGCATTTTATTGAGCACTCAGGCCCTGTTGTACAATCGACGTTTAAAAACAGTCCCTTAAGCATAAACTCGACTGGGTACTTTCAAGCTTCAAAAATGGTCAAAGTTGATAGCAATGCATTTGAAATGAGAGTTTCAAACACCACTCCAGAATAAATTTGGAGATGTTTGGGCTTCTATAAGTAATTGAGTATAGGTACGTGTAAGATCGAGAAAAATCAAGATAACTTCTTTTTGTGAGCAGTTTTGGATGGCCTCTCATGTATTACCCAAATCCTTTTTTGAAAATCACGTTTCGGTCATCCAGGGCCATCCTCAAATTTTTCATTATGCATAAAGGTGATTTCTGATCGAGGGATGCTCGGTTGGCCTGTGCGCAGTCCGGATTTGAACCCTATGAAGTAGCCTTTTGGGGTAGCTGACAAAATAATTTATATCCATAAAAATACCGCAACCGATATTAATGTCTTACGAAAAAACTTCAATGACAGAAGAGCGCGCCATCGCAGCTAGAGTAATTAAGAGATTGTTTTTAAACCTAAATTTTTTTTTCTCCAAATAAGCAAGGTCTTTTTGAACATCTCACTTAAAAAATCGCATTACATGAAATTGTTGATTTGTTATCGTTTCTCTGTTATTTGTTAAGATTTTGACATCTAATAAAAGCCCATCAAAAAGGAAAATTGCAATTTCCTGTTTTATTTGGATAGTTCCGGAACTATTCGGTATTTTTCCAATTTCAGAGCGGCCTTTTTTTAAGCATCAAATTGCGCAACTTTATATACCAGAGCTCATAATCGACTCAGTAGCATTTTTCATGTTTTCCGAGATCTCAATAGCAAGCCTCGTCCCGAGTTTGGGACACCCAGTAGGTACGTAGGTACTTATCTGAGTAATAATAATTGAACATACATGCACCTGACCTGAACTAATAGATCGGAGGAGATATGCCTAAAAGTGTGAAAATAAGTTGATAACAAATCCATATAAATGCTGACCTATATAGGCTGAAATGCAAATTAATAGTTTTCTTTTTCTAATATCTAGAGAAAAAACTGAAACTTGACTTTCTGAATTGATCTGCAATTAAAAATAGTAACAATTAAGTTACCGGACCGATTTGATTTTGTAAAATTTAGCCAAATTATAAATCCTCCGAAAATTGGTTTATTGCTAACAATTTTGAGTAGATTTTTTCTATATAATCACTTTTCTCATAACGGATTACCTCCAATACAGTAACGAAAATTCAGCCCTTCTTATCAAAAAGAAAACCCTAAAAAAATTGCTAGCTTGACGGAAACAAATCTATAGGACGGCGACCCCTAGGCTCAAGGCAGGTCAATACTTATATGTAATTTTAAATCTCAAACGCCCTATTTCCAAATTGAAATTCATGCTCAAGATTCAAATCTCTTAGTACCTATATAGGTTTATGTGGAAAGGTAATAATAAATTTCAATAGGGGAACCTTGCACTCACGATAGTATAGTATAAATATAAATAGAAACGCGACTCTTTAAATTAAAAATGAATGGATATAAATACAATGTAATAATAGTTGTTCCTTTTATGCAAAATCCGATTAAAAATGTTTATAGCGGAACTTACCTGCAAATGAATGGGCACTTTTTTAACGGGAGTACTCATATTGATCCTGTTTCCTGATTCAACTGTTCAAATATGCGGTAAATTTAAAACGCTCGCGTCAACACCGCACAACTCGACTCACTCACTACCAACAGCAACAGTCGATTGTCTAACAGTCCGCTACTCCGCGTTTTGCGCCTGAATCAACGGCAACGACCTTGCATCAATCCATTTCCCATTTTCAGTGCCGATTGCGCCATCCGCCATTATGAAAAGACGGCTGCGCTCTAGTAGTGTTGCTTGTATCGAGACCGGAAAACTGCGTAAGAAAACTCCCTAGGGTTAATCTGGCACGACGCCCCAACACGTTCCTTATTCGAGGGAACGAAACGAGATACAAACTTAACCTTACTAGTTTTACGAAAGACGGCTGCAGAAAACATGTCGTCTTTTGTCATAAGGTGCAGAAACAATAAATAAATAACTTAATAAATAAATAAATAAATAAATATCGCCTTTATTTAACTTCACAAATACATACATACTATACCTACCCAGTCAACGAAACAACAATACATCTAGCCGGAGAGCCAGCGCCCAAAAAATTCTCTGAATTTACTAAAGCCAGGTTTTGGTCAGTTGATTACAGTATTTACGTACATAAACATACCTCGGTCAGTCAAGCGAAATTTGGGACAAGGACCTAGGGTGTCTGGTTAAAGTTGTCGAGATAGCTAGGTAATGCAACGAATTTACTAAGGCTGAAAATCGCTATACATATTATATATAACACATAAATAACAGTGATATTTGTCAGTCAGTTGAATAGCGGAACTGAGCCGGTCATTCAGCCCCATTGAGGTAGTTCAGCCCCAATTTATGTAAAAAAAAATAGGTCTATTTTTTTTTTAGAGTGACAGCGTGACAACGTGACAGTGACAATTCAAAATTGTAGGTTGAAGTTTAAATTAATAGGTTTGTTCAGTAATATTAATATTTTTTGCAGATTTTTACATTTATTGGGGCTGACTGACCAGCACGGACCCGCTATTCAACTGACTGACTAACACTACTGTTATTTATATGTTATATATAATATGTATAACGATTTTCAGCTTTAGTAAATTCGTTGCATCACCCAAGTTATCTCGACACCTTGGGTCCTTGTCCCAAGTTTCGCTTGACTAACCGCGGTATGTTTATGTACGTAAATACTGTAATCAACTGTCCAAAAACTAGCTTTAGTAAATTCAGAGAATTTTTTCGGCGCTGGCTCTTAAACTAATCCCTAGGAACATTTTCATCCAGCTTCAATACTACTCAAGAAATTTATTCCTTACTAAATTTAATATAAACTACTGTATTGCTAACAAATATTGTTTATTATCTATACCTCAGGAAACTAAAGTTGCACTTTTTAAATTGAGTAGGCAATTTGTTAAAAATATTTACACAATTATAAGTAAAATCTCGTTGAAACAATGAGGTTCTATGTCTATGATGTGGCATTGTTAGCAAATTTTTATCTCTTAAACTACTGCACAGCCTCTCTAAAAGTAAGTTTTTCATACAAATAAATGGGCTCTTTGTTCATTATTAACTTTCTTAAAAATACCGTAATATAATAATTATAACTATTTTCACATTTGAGCCAACCTAATGCTTTTATTTTAGCGGAAACATGATCAAACTTTCTTAATTTTTATACAAATCGTCTACAAGTGTTTTGGACATATTGAATTCTTTTCCTATTCACGTCAGTCAAAAATGGGAAGTACAATATAAAACAATATGAATATATAGACATAATGAGAGCTTCACATAATTTTTTCCTAGTTTTAGAGTTTAATATGTGCCCATTCGCATATAGCAGTTTCATTTTTATATAACTTTTCTTTATTAGAGTTGAAATATGTTTCTAAAAGGATAAATGTATGTCTATACATAGGCCCAAATTTTTTCTACAGTTTGCAAATACTAAAAATTCTCCGTCAATTTCTATAGAGAACCTGTTTGAAAGATTATTTCTTTCGCTCTCTGAACAAAAAAGCAAAATTTCAGACTTATTGTGAATAATCTTCAAGTTGTGCTGTCTTGAAAATTTGACTACATTTGTCAAGTCCAAATTCAAGAGCTTTGCAGCCCGCTTTGGGTAATCAGGTCCAACGCTTAACAACAATTGTGTGTCGTCTGCATATGACTGAATGAGAAAATGAAGCACTTGAGAACATATCTGCTGTTTAAATAATGTACAACAACGGCCCCAATATAAAACACTGGGGTAGTCCCAAGACAACACTTTTTGGCTGAGAGATGTTTCCATTTAATCTGACAAACTGGCGACGATCTCTCAAATAGCTTCCAAAAAGAGAACATGCCCTCTCATTGAACCCATAAAAAGCTAATTTTGCACACATCATCATGGTCTATAACATCATAAGCTTTAGAGTAATCTAACAAAACCAAAATAGCAGCCAGAGCTGTGGTTGTACTGTGACTCTCCCGAAAGCCTGACTGGTGCACTGGAAGGAACTTATTTATATTGAAATATTCTGTTATCTGAGGCATGTTATACCTTTTCCAAAATTTTAGAAATAACATGAAGCAAACTGACTTGTCTCGAATTCGAAAAAGTAACCGGTTCAGAAAAAGATTTGGACAGGGGACAGACAAGGGAATCCTTCCACTGGCTGGGAAAGTATCCTCTCTCAAGGCATCAATTTATAATATGGGTATAGGCAATATAACAACATGCAGACATTGTTTCGACATTTGTAAGGTGAGGCCATCAATACCAGCTGCGTTCAATTTCATACCCTTAATGTACAGAGTGTCCAAATTTGGATGGTTTCAATAGGACACGTCAATTTCTGAGCGAGATACAAAAAAAGGACCCCCCACTCCGAGGCTCAAATTTTATGAAATCTTGAGTGGTGCACACCGCATTTTGATATCTTCAACCGTTTAGCCGCTAGAGGGCGATTCTCGATTTTGAGCAATACTGTGAAACCTTCATAACTTCTTTGTTTATGAAAATAATTGATTTCCGTAAAAACTTTCTAAAAGTACTTTTTAAGGCATAATTCAGTGACGTTCTCAGTTTTTTTCTATTTGGCCCCGATTTCGAGATGTTGATCAAAATCCGATTTCTGCTTTTGCTGATTTCGATGATATAAAGTTCGATAGGTTTATCTCCAATGGTTTCGGAGAAAAAAAATTATTTCGATTTTTGTCAAAAGGAACAATGTGTTGGAGAAGGACTTTATATCTGTAAGGAAAATGAGAAAGGTCTCTTTCTAACACATTCAGGCCTATGATGTATCCTCTCCTGTTATTTTAACAGTTGTGTTATACCTCAAAATCTATACCTGTCTCTATTTTTACGTGTAGAATAAATAGTGACAGATAACTTAACGTTGCTGTTAAAATAACAGAAAATGATACATCATAGGCCTGATTGTGTCTTATGGCAAAAACAGAAATAATTTTTTTCCTCGAAAACTGTCAGGGATAAACCTATCGAACTTATATCATTGAAATCAGCAAAGGCAGAGCTTTCCAATGAGCTACTAATATATAGGGTGTCCTATTGAAAAAAATCAGACTCTGGTCAATATCTTGAAATCGGGACCAAATAGAAAAAAACCGAGAACGTTATTTAGCTCTGCTTAAAAAAGTGCTTCTAGAAAGTTTTTACGGAAATCAATTATTTTCATAGACAAAAAAGTTATGAAGGTTTCACAGTACTGCTCAAAATCGAGAAATGCCCTCTAGCGGCTAAACGGTTGAAGATATCAAAATGCGGTTTGCACCAATCAAGATTTCATGAAATTTGAGCCGCGGAGTGGGGGGTCCATTTTTTTGTATCTTGCTCAGAAATTGGCGTTTCCTATTAAAACCATCCAAATGTGGACACCCTGTACTAGTAGAGTAAATGGACTGGCAAAAGGCTTCTAGAACAGATTTTCGTGGGAACTTTGTTGCTAAAATGTAAAACCTATTTTTTATTATTCCTAACGCCGTTGCAATGCAAAATCACCTGGTCGTCAAAAAATCGTAGTGGGAGGAGAGTGGTGGGGAGCCTTTTTGAAAAAAAATGCTTTTTTTTTTCATCATTTTTCGGATCTAAGATTTCAGAGAATTAATTTCTGAAATTTGCATATCAATCCGGACATTTTTTAAATTTATATAAATACGTTGCACCATTGTTGTATATGGAGCGCCTTCACACAAAATCGCTTGCCCTGAAAACCCATATTTTTGAAATCCTTTAACTCGCTCCACCTCGAAAAGTATTGGGTCTATCAAAAAAAGGCTTTCTATAAACGTTATAGACCAAACACCAGAGAACATGTTGGTTTTTTTAAAATTTTAATTGGTGCACACCGTTTAGTTTAGGAGAAAATTAAATAAATCGAAAGGTATGTCGCGACGGAGAGCCGCGAGCGCGGAGATGCGAGGAAGCGCGAGAGTCCTATGCCAAGCCAAAGCCAACTGAAAATCGACTCTACTGATGGCGATGTTGTTACGGTCGATTTTTTTTGTGACGGCCATTTCACATTAAACTGAATACGCTTTGGGCACGACTATAAGAATGATGGAATAGTGTTAAATTAAGAGTTGTTTGGCTTATCTTTTATCAAAATATTAACACAAACAGTATTCTGTTGTGCTGTGTCTTTATGTAGTCATATTAATAAACTAAGAGTTTTTTGGCTTATCTTTTATCAAAATATTAACACAAACAGTATTCTGTTGTGCTGTGTCTTTATGTAGTCATATTAATAATAAGTAGGTATTGTTTCAGAAGAATTTCACCGGCGACACCGGCATCGGTTTTTCTTTTCAGTGAATTTCGCATTAAAGAACAGAGGATAGTAATAAGACAATTAAATCTATGTAGGTATTTCGGACTGAGCATAAAGAACGCACTTTTCAACCATACATCAGCAAGTCCAGAATCTGTCATAAATTGACCGATTATTTTGAGGAAGTTTATAACAATGTGGAATCCACCTAGACGAATAATTACATTCTTTGTGTCTTCCGGCTAGAACCACTGGAGCTCTTTAGCTCTATAATCGAACGCTTGATCAAATGTCAGAACAGTGTAGGTATCTGTTATTTAGCTTCTTAGCAATTTCACTGCACTTTACAATAACAGTCCAAACGGTATCATATTCTGACGAGACATGGGGTAGTACAGGTAAGTAGCCAAAGGTTGTTACATGTGATTCACCCTCCAAAATCAGTTTATGAAATCCTGACCACTGCGGAATAACGGTTTGATCGCTACTAGAGTCCCTCATTCTATAAATACACCACGCCATATTACAAAACCTCATGTTATTA